TCAAATTTCCATATGTCTCAATGGAAACCCCTGCGTTACATTACCCCCACTTTTTCCAAGAAAATTTTATAACCCACTTGAGTTTGCAATTCATTGATGATTTTGCATCAGCTGGGTGCTAGTGGCTCACTCCTGTAATCGTAGTTACTCACAGCTACTCAGGAGACTGAGATCTGAGGTTCATGGTTTAAAGCCAGCCCAAGAAAAAAAGTCTTTGAGACTCAGGAGCAGTGACTTCAGTGGTAGAGTGCCATTTCTGAGAGAAAAAGTTAAAGGGCAGCTCTCAGTTCCATGCTGCCATTTTCATGTATTAAGTTAGTTACAAAACAGATTCCCCAATCACATTTTATCTACTTCACTTGAAATATATAAAATAAGTATGCCCTGAAACAGTTGTAGGCCAAGAAGGGGCCATTAAAGATATTCAGTAGACAATGTCACTGTGAGAGTTCCAAAGGCTGGCATGGCTCTGTACCCCTTTTACCTAGAAGCCGGCAGCTGAAAACAAAAATGTTGTTTTTCACAAGGTCATTTCCCTGATTTTATAGGAGCTGGAACAGAATTAAAACTGTGGCTCAAGCCTGTCATCCTAGCTATTCAGGATGCTGAGATCTCAGGATTGTGGAATAGAATGAGCCTGGGCAGGAGAGTCCTGTGAGACTCTTATTTCCCATCAACCACCTAAACACAGGAAGTGGAGCTGTGGCTCAAGTGGAGGAGCACTAGCAAAAAAGCTCTGGGTCAGTGCCTACAGGCTCTGAGTTTAAACCTAGGACCTCCCTCCCCAGTCCCCCCCCCCCACAAATGAATGAAGGAGTGAATAAGGGGGTTAAATCTATTATTCAAGAGGAAGTGGCAGAGCCTTTAAGAAGTGGTGGCATTTCTTCCTGTGACACTTTCACATCACACCTGCCTGTATTTCTAGGGAATGGTGAGAGAGAGAATTCTCTCAACTTTACACCATTAATCTTGCCTGCTAGTTGCTGTCTCTTGTAAATGTGTCCTACAAGAAGACAAGCACAAGCACACGGGGCTGGGAAGGTGGCTCAGTGGTAGAGCACTTGCCTTAAATGCCTGAGGCCCTGGGTTCGATTCTTCAGCACCACATAAGCAAAAAGAAAAAAGCCGGAAGTGGCGCTGTGGCTCAAGTGGTAGAGCGCTAGCCATGAGCTGAAGAGCTGAGGGATAAGCGCCCAGGCCCAGAGTTCAGGCCCTACGACCGGACCCCAACCCCCAAAAAAGAAAAAAGAAGAAGACAACCACATACAACCTTTTCTAGATTGCTTCCTTGCTTGAATTACCCCAGTGGTCCAACCCACCTTTGCGAATAGACCTTTCTTTAAGGAAAAGGTGATGGTTTTGCTCTGTATGTTTATTATGAGTTATAATTTCCAAATGTGGGTTGGACAATCTCTACCATTTTGAGATCAAGTTTTCTTTTCTCTAAAATTTGATATATTTTGCCTCTGTGAGATAATGTTACAAAAACACCTCTTTATGGCTATCCTTTTGTAAAATCCAAAGCAAGGACCATCTGGTAACAAAGATTAATCTGTTTTAGAAAGGGAAACATTATTGCATATTTAAAAATATGTAACTAGCACAGAACATTTGCCTCAGGCATCAGAATGAGATTATGGTTTAGGAAAAATATTTAAATGAACCTTCATCCTTTAAAATTCTGTAAAACATGTTTTGTTTTCTTGTGTAGTAAAACTTAAATATTTTAAGTCATCTGCTGAAAAATAGTGCTAATTTAAAACTAAGAACAAAAGATGTTCTAATAGTGAGAGAGAAAAAGCTGTAACTTTTTTCTCTTTTTAATTTATAAATGTTATGATTATATTTCTATGTTATTAGTTTTACAAATGATAGGTAAACTGATCTTGTTAACAGCTAGTAGACTATTTTTATTTATTTTTTATCATTTTTTACATTGGTTTATATCTTTTATGTCATTATCTGTAAGTAGTTGTACAATAGAGTTACCATTCAACAAAGCAGTTTATGAATATAATACTTCTCGATCACTGAAACTACATTTTTAAGACAAACAAGATTTACTGAGCAATTTGGCAAAGAACATGTTGTTTATGCCTACCACCTTACATAATGGCTCCTTTAACTTTGGTATGAGGTTATTTTTTAAATTAAATGGCTTCATGAAATTATATATATAAACACATGATTAGATACAGTCCATAATTCACATTAAAGCTCTGTCTATTTTGTACAGTTATATAGGATGACAGATACATAGTGATGTGTATATCTTCTATATTTTTATAGAGAGTAATTGTACTGCTTTAGAATTCCCCTGCTCCCCTCAGCCCGTGGTTTGTGAATCTATGTCTAAGTAGAAAATTAGGACAAAACAAATTTGCAGTGGAAAGAATCTGTATTTTCATGGAGGCACACTCCAGCCCCTTATTCTTTAGTTACTTTTCAGACAGGGTCTATTGCTTTTGCTGTGGCCAACCTCAGATGGAGACTCTTTCTGTGCTCCGCCTCCATCAGTAATTGGAATTACAGGTATGTGCTACCATGCCTGGTCTTTACTTTAGGTGTTTTTAATTATAAACCAGTTGGCATTTTTTTATGAAAGCAACCTGAAGAAATTTCTATGTGTGTGTAACATACTGATAAGAAACAACTTGCATTATTCTACCAAGAAATAAATGCTAATACTGACAGTGAACCAACATACCCTTCTAGTTGGAGGAGTAGATACTGTTCATAAATTTCTATAAAAATAGCTTGATTTATAGTGTTTGATTTGTTCTTTGGTGTTTCTTAGTATTGTTCGGAAAATTTGTATAATTGTTTCTCAATTTCAGCACATGATAATCTTTTTTTTAAGCAAGATTTATTTATTTATTTTGTCGGTCGTGGGGTCTGAACTCTGGGCCTAGGCACTGTCCCTCAACTCTTTAGCTCAAGGCGAGCACTCTACCACTTGAGCCACAGCACCACTTCTGGCTTTTTCTGCGTATGTGGTATTGAGGAATCGAACCCAGGGCCTCATGTATGCAAGGCAAGCACTCCACCACTGAGCCACTTTCCCAGCCCCACATGACAATCTTATTTAATATTTTATGGGAGTATTTTAGATGGCTCAGTTTTAATCTTTCTACTTCATATGTTCACAGGTAATTGTATTGGCTAAGAATAAATCATTAAAATATCAATCTGTTTCCCTGTTTATTGGGTCTGGTACAGTTTTTGAGTTGGTGTCTTTCTTTTCCCATTGTTGTTGAACAAACACTCATGCTGTTGCCTCTTGTGTGTTTTGAGTAGAACTATAATTTATATTCCACAAAGAAAAACTTACAAAACAGCTTTTGTTCTTAAAATGTATGCTCTTGTTCTTTAAGTGTATGCTCATTCAATAATCTTGAATGAAATAACCAACTTAACATAATTTTATATATCCTTGTTCTGGTATATCATATAGTTTGAAATACAGATGTTGGTTTTCATGTAATAGAATTAAACCCTGGCTAAATTAGATATAATCAAAATAATCTGTTAAGTATACTTATCTCTGACAAAGCTAGACTGACAGGTGTCAGTAGTATTCTTTGGTTATTTTGGGCTTCAGAAGTAAAAATTCCATAATTGCTTTGTTGTGTTTATGGATGTACAGATATATATGTATATACGTATACATATACATGTAATCATAGGCTAAGAATATTGGTCTGGATCAAATCCTAAAGTCTTTATTGTTAAAAGTGTTTTCATGAAACTAAGTAAACTTGAACAAAATGGTCATGACTTCGAGTTGAGCAAAATGTCATAGACAGATTAGGAAAATGGAGGGACTGATAGGGGTTGGGAGTGATGTGGAAGAACAATGAAGATGCATTGTACTCATAAACTGACATGTTGAATGTAACCCCTTGGTGCAATGACCTAAAGATAATAAAACTAAAAAAATTATCATAGGCTGGCACTGGTGGCTCACACCTCTAATCTTAGCTACTCAGGAGGCTGAGATCTGAGGATCGCAGTTCAGTGCTATCCTGGGCAGGATAGTTTGTGAGATTCTTACCTCCAATTAACCACCAGAAAACCTAAGTGCTCAAGTGGTTGAGTGCTAGCCTTGAGCTCAGGGACAGAGCCCAGGCCCAGAGTTCAAGCCCCATGACTGATCCCCCTCCCTTCCCCTCCCCCCAAAAAATCATAGACAGTATAGAATACTTCTAAAACAAGGTGAGTATGGTATTTGTGTACGCTATTTTCAGAAAAGAATATTGTATCCTGCACTATAAGTTAAGTTCTAAACTGTTAGAAATGACTTAAACATTTATTAATGTGGTAACCAACTGGAAAATTTTTTCCTTTTTATTTTGTTTTTGATTATTCAGAATGAGTATGTTCTAGTTCTTGAACCAAGCATGATGGTAGAAATATTAAAGTTGAGTTTTCCCAGTATTTTTGCTGGTTGTGATTCAGATTATAATAAGGTTTTGTTTTGTTGTTGTTGTTTTGTTTTTGGTGGTAGTTCTGAGGAAGGGTAGGTAGAAAGGCTCAACTGTAGAGCTTGAAACTCAGTTTACTGACACATAATGCAGTGATAAGTCAAGCCAAGGAAGCAGATGTTTTCACTTAATAAAATATTTTTATGCAGTTCTACATAGATAATGCTTTGTATTGCAAACTTGTTTTTGTAAGGTTGAGTTCACATCATTGTACTATTCATTGTGAGATTCCTACAGCCTCTTCTCTCTTCTGTAAAGCCACCAGCTTTAATCTATGGTAAACAAGTGTGTTTGTTTCTTTCCATAGGATTGGACTCACTCCGTTTTATACTTTTGTTCCTTTCATGTTAATCACCGAGACTGCTGCAGAACAATTCTTCAAATGTTTGAGGAATGCACTCATGTCCCAGAGGAACAAAAGGAAAAAAATTAATAGACTCACAAGTAATAAATCATGCATTTCTTACCGTGTAAGATTCACCAAGATAAATTTGTGTTCCGTTTTTCTCCCCACAGTCTCCAAACGTCCACAACTACCCCGATATGGAAGCTGTCCCCCTGTTACTAAATAATGTGAAAGGGGAGCCCCCGGAGGATGCACTACCTGTAGATCACTTCCAAACACAAACTGAGCCCGTGGACTTGTCTATAAACAAAGCCAGGACGTCCCCTACCGCCGTTTCATCCTCCCCCGTCTCCATGACAGCGTCTGCCTCTTCACCGTCGTCTACTTCAACCTCTTCATCCTCTTCCAGTCGTCCAGCCTCATCCCCAACTGTTATCACATCAGTATCTTCAGCATCATCTTCATCAACAGTATTAACTCCAGGACCTCTTGTTGCCTCGGCCTCTGGTGTGGGAGGCCAGCAGTTTTTGCACATTATCCATCCCGTACCGCCTTCAAGTCCCATGAATTTACAGTCTAACAAACTGAGTCACGTTCACCGCATCCCCGTGGTGGTACAGTCCGTGCCTGTTGTCTATACAGCTGTCCGGTCGCCTGGAAACGTGAACAACACTATTGTTGTGCCCCTCTTAGAGGATGGGAGAAGCCATGGCAAAGGTAAGACATATCAATCTTTGATTTATTATAGCACTAGAGATAACTATTCACTTTGTCATTCATTGGAACATAAATTATATGCATACATTACACTCAAGCTCTGTGCACAACTACAAGAACGGACGATGAGTTACTGAATACAGTTCACTGGGGATATTTCAATCATATAGATGATTTTTTTTTAATGTACGTGGTGGGGGGAGGTGGTACTAGGACTTGAACTCAGGGCCTGGACCCTTCTGTCTCCCTAAGGATTTTTGTTCAAGGCTAGCACTCTACCACTTTTACTGAAGCTCCATTTCTACCTTTTGGTGGTTAATTGAAGAGTCTCACATACTTTCTTGCCTAGGCTAGTTTTGAAACCTGATCTTCAGGTATCAGCCTCCTGAGTAGCTACGATTACGGGTGTGAAAGACTGGTGCCTATTGTTTATGTATATTTAAAAAATGTATATAGTCTCTGTTTTTATTTGGCAGTCCATTTAGTGTCAAAATGGAGATATCTCCATTTGTAAAATGAAGCTTAGTATTAAATGCTCAAATGGAAAGGGCAGTCCTGTGGTTAGTGGAATTATGTATAAAGTAAAATTTCACATAGGGTTTGATCAATGTGAAATTTTTTTATGGAAAATAAGGATTTTTGTTTTACTTTTTTTTTTCTTACTGGAAGTTATTCAGATAGAAAAGTATAAAATTCCATGAAATTGTAGTCTGAGAATTCACTTTAAGGAGCCTTGGAAATTTGGTTAGCATTAAGATAACTTTACCTGGGCACTGGTAACCGCTCATGCTACCCAGGAGGCTGAATTCTGAGGATTATGGTTCAAAGCCAGCCTGGGGCACACAAAGCTAAGACATTCTTATCTATAATTAACGTGGGGCACCAGGAAGCTAAGCAAGAACTCAGGCCTGAATTCAAGCTCTAGTACTGTGACACTAGAAAGATAGTAAGAATTCTGAAGTATTCGGCTTAAAGGATCATGTAGCTTCAGTTTTTGTCATCTGTGTTAAATTCTTAACTGTCAATATCTTATTACATGAAATGCAATGCTAATTGTCTCTTCTGGTGTTTAAAAAGCAAGTAGGTAATTGCCACAGGATTATGTATAAAAATAACTAGTTAGTTCAGTAAATTTGATAATTATACAGATACCATGATGTTCTTTTTCACTCCTAAGTCCTTGGGTGGGTGGGAGGGGGTTGTTTTGCTTTTGTTCCCTACTTTTTATTAAAAGAAATATCATCATGCAGTCTGTCTTTCTTTCCTATCTACCTAAATCCCCTAATGTTTGATTCTCCTTCCTGTTTAAACTTGAAGATCTTTATGTGGAACTTGTCTTCAGAGCTTAGAGTTTATACTGGTATGGCTTAATGATTCTTTGCCTTTTCCTTTGCTTTTATTTTATTACTGAAGCCCATAGTTACAATAGGATTGATGGACACATAAACTACCATCTTAAAAATGCTAACAAACATAATGTTCTTGCTTCTTGTATAAGGTAGGATTCAGTATAGAAAGATTGTATTTGATAGACAAATATTACAAACCTATGTTACAGAACTGGGCATTTACCACTGGCAAATTATTCTTTGAATCTAGATTGAGTTTCTTCATAACATTGCAATAAATTTTATGTTCCTTGTATAAAAAATTAATCTCAGGATTCTAGAATTTTAGTTTGAAAATGTGAGATGTCGACATTCACTCCTAACTGACCACCAATAGGATATATCATTATCTGATATATCCTGAGGTTACTGAGAAGGTTAAGAACATAAATGAAAATATCAAGCACTGATCAAGTATCAAATAAGTGTCTACTTACTTTCATTATTATTTTTCCCTCCCCCAAAGTACAAGAATAAAAACAGGAACTGGTAGGGGAGATAAACATGTTGAACTTTAAAACACAAAACAACCCCAAGAAGTTGGTATAGAAATGGTTCTCAAGCCGGGCACCGGTGGCTCAAACCTGTAATCCTAGTTACTCAGGAGGCTGAGATCTGAGGATCACAGTTCAAAGCAAGCTCAGACAGGAAAGTTTGGTAGACTGTTATCTCCAATAAACCACTAGAAAACCAGCAATAGAGCGCTTGCCTTGAGCTAAAGAGCCCAGGGACAGCGCCCGGGCCCAGAGTTCAAGCCCCATGACCGGAAGAAAAAAAAAAGAAATGGTTCTCAAAATGTGAATACAACTACACCTGGAGGTTTGGCTCAAGTGGTAGGGTGCCAATCTTTGCATGACAGCATCAGACTTTTGCGTCCAAGTTCTGTTCTTGAGGAAGAGGGGAGGAGTTGTTACTATAACACATTATAAGGGACTAGAGATTAGTAGGAAAAATGGTCTGGAATCATCTCATTTTTTTCTCTTTTTATGACTTTATATTAAGTTTTTATAATGACCATATTCTACAAATATTGCTATGCCATTTTACAAGTTTCTTTTATTATTTTAGTGATGAATTAGATGATAGTAAAAGTGTCTAATGGAGGAAGCTCGCCTACCTCAACAGAATAAAGAAAGCTAAGGGCATTTCAGTAATTCCTCGAGTCTTTATTTGCACATGTGCAGTTAGGCATTCAGCCAGCAGTGAAATGGCTGGTGATAAAGGGACTCCCTGTTTCCCTTCCCATGTGAGACTTATATATCTGGAATAGATGAGTGAACGAGAATGCCATAGGAGACTTGGATTTTCACAATGATAATAATAAAAAAAACATAAAAATGTAACTCATGGGAATTAGGTGGTTATGCTGGCTAATTACTTTTTAAGCTTGTATAAGGTATCTGGTCTCTGATAGAACACTAGATGACCCTCTAGGACACTTGACACTAGGGACTGTGAAAGTACATATCCATATCTAAACTGATGCATTCTGTGAACTGACTCCTTTGTTCATTCGCATGTTTATTTAGCATGTATCCCTAGCAGGCATTATTGACTCTAAACATAGTGTTGAACAAAACAGGTGCTGTTTCTGTTTTACAGTGTTTAAAGTCTAATGAGTGTCAAATGAATAAGAGAAACAAAAGATGAAGTTATGTTTAACAAGAGTATTTTCACCTGGGCTGTAATATTTGGAAAGAAATGTTTTCACTCTGACTTTCTTTCAAAGGAGGGTGTGGTGAAGGCTTAAAGTGTTGAATGAACAAAGCTTCCACAAGCAATACGTAGGTAACAAAAGAGTAGAAAATGTTTTCTAATAATTGTAGAAGCTTGGCCCATCCAAGAAGATGATGAATATTAGTCTAAAGGAAAGGAAAGTTGTTAGCTCACTCAGACAATCTTAGTGAGGCCTTGAGTATAATACCAGAGATAAAGAAAGATAGCACGATGTTCGCTGAAGTAAATAAATAAACATGATTTAGAATGAAGCTGTGAGAAGGAGAATGTGGAAGAAGGTCTCCTGAGGAGACCAAAGTGATCTTGAGAAGTACTGAGCCCCCAGTGTGGGAGATTGTATTACCACAGAAGTGGAGACCTGATATCCATCAGCAAAATCCTCAAGGGAATATCTGGCCTTGATAATAATCACTTCAGGAATTTCAGTCTAGCCTTGGGAAGTTTGTGGTACATCTCTGTAGAGATTCTTTTTTTTTTTTAAACAGATTTCTAGAAGCAGAAAAATAGAGAGTAAGTAAATCATCAGCCATGTTGTCCTTGGCTCATTATTACCCCGATACAACCCTTAAGAGTTAGAATTCTTCTTCCTATTAGCCATCTGCATTTCCTATATGCTAAGCATGATCCTAGGAGCTGAGGTTCTAAGATGAGCATGTCTCTTCTGCCCCAAACTTCATTTTCGAGGCAGACAAGATTTGTCAGTGTTCTGGGAAGAAATGGTAAAAGGATTGAAAGGTAAAAAGGAACGATGTCATTTTAGTTTTAATCAAGGAAGGCCTTCCTGAGAAAAATAGCTAAGGTAATAATATTTGGGAAAGGCATTGTAGAACAAGAGAACTTCAGATTTGAAGATGAGGCTCAAGTGACTGTGACCTGCATGTGGAATAATGAACAACAAGAGGCCTGTGGCTTTTCCTTAGAGAGGGTGAGCAAGAGGAAATGGTGGAGATGAGGGCTGGGGAGTGGCCAGGCCAGGGGCACAGCAGGTAGAGTCTTCTAGTAGAAAGTGCTTGAAATGGTAGTTGGACAAGTAAGCCTGGGGCTCAAAGGAAGGAAGTACTTAGATTAGTCAGTTAAACTTGAAATCCATTAGGGATAGATGAGATATTTCATGCTATGGACTGATGAATCATCTTGGATGAGAATCAGAACAGAGAAGGGAAAGCACAAAAGTCTGAGTAATTCAAAATAGAGGGTGGGAATGACCCCAGATCGAAGAAGGTCAGTTAAGTAATTTGGTACATGAGGGGGCTGTTCTCAGCCGACCCCTCTTTCTGTACCGATAATTCTGTACGGCCCACAAGGAGGATCCAAATGTCCTTGTGATCTTTGGCAGACACTAACCACGGAGGTTAGAAAGAGAAGAGGGATCTAGTCATGGATTCCATCTTCAATGGAAGAAAGTAGAAGAATGTAAGAATGTAAGTAGAGAATGAAAGACTAGAAGTTGCCAGTTGTTACCAGTCACTACTGAGGAGCTGAATAAAGTTGTTGGTTGGGTTGTGGATTAGGTCAGGGAAATGATAAACAGTAGACCAGTAGGGTAGGAAGAAGAATAGAAGAGGAAAGGGATACTCAATCTAGACAGTTCTTAGGAGTAGTTTTATTATAAATGTTTTATTGTAGAGAATTACAACGGTAGGCGACATGCAATAATTTCGGCCCTCCACCAAGGGAGTTTAATGGTGGGAGACAGCACTGTCAAGAATAATATAGTAGAGTTGAAAGTAGATAATTGTGGCTAATTCTATAGGGAAAGAACTATGAAAGCAAAGCCCTTAATTGCATATTATTGCTTAGATTATACATCATTCAGTAATTAATTTGAATTCTGAAGTCAACTTATTATATTGATGGAATTGTTGGGCAAAGATA